AAATAAATAAAATCTTTTTTTAAAAAAAGAATCTTTAATAATATGGAAATACTTATTTCTCTGACTTAGACCCTCTGCGTTTTTAGGCACAAAAATACACCAAAGTACTTGCTAAGTTACGGGCAAGAGAGCCAGTCTGACCAGGGCGGGGAGACTGAACAGAGGGGGTTATCAATGTGGGATTCTTTCAGCACAGACCCCAAGAATTAGGGTATCAAGAAACTCATCCTAAAATAATATGTGATGGTTTTCGGCAAAAAGCTATAATCACCATGCTAAGAGAAACTCCAAGGTCCCCCAGGCCCCCAACCTCTGTCCAAAGCACATTGTGGTGTCCACCTCGCGGACCGTGGAGTTGCTTGCTCCTTAATTCATACCTCGCTCTGAAAATGGCTCCTGAAACCGATTCCAAACAGCAACCTCGCCTTGGTCATTTTTTGTTTTACTGCAAGATTTCCTTTTCTTGTTGCTTAACAAAATACTCTTACTGACTTCTCCATGAGGTCTGCTTTATTTTCCAGAAACGGTCACGTTTCTCTTCATGCTACGGCAGCTTTTACTAAAAGCCCACAGTTGGCTGGATTGTGCAGGGATTCTCCAAATGACTTTGTGTTTTTCCTAAGTAGATCAGTCTCATTTTTCAGAGGAATTGAGGAAGAACAGACATGTTCCAGCCTGCACTCACATCCCTTCTGGGCTGTAAGACTCTGGTCGCTGGGGGAAGAAACTCAGGGAGTTCATCTTCTCTAGCACCTCTTGGCTAAAATCACAGGACCTGGCAAGGGGCCACAGGCGGCTGGGGCCACCCCTGGTCTGGAATTGGGTCTTGCCCGGTCCTGAGAGCCCGAGAAAAGCTGTGGCCCGCTGCAGGGCCATGTCATGACTTTCATGGGCCCCACGCACTTTTGCCTCCACGGGCCTCCACGGGCCTGTTGCTCCATAAAAGAAATATTAAAAAATCACATTTTATGACTGCAATGGTAGAAAGGCAATTATGATCCAGCCTAGATTCACTCTTAGGTCTTCGTTATTATTAATTTTTTTCCTGCTGCTTTGAAAAGCAGTCAAAATGAAAACATTTCATGGGTCCCTAGAAATACTATGAGCTCTAGGCACTGGGCCAGTGAGCCAGCAACCACAGCCCCTGCCCCCAGTCCTCGGGGGCCGAACCCCATCTGTATGACCACCTTCTGCCAGGAACGCAGCCCTGCTGGTCGGGGCCTGCTACCCCGTCTCCCTTCACTGAAGAGCGTGAGCCCCTCGGCCCCCCACCTCACTGGGACAACAGGGCTGGTCCCCGGGGCCACGATCTGCCTCTCAATATATTGGAAGACAGCCGGGAATAATAATAACATGGCAAGCTGAAGTCCCAGGTGCTAAGCCCTGCTCAAAGCGCTTTATGTGGCAGGCTCAGTCGGGGGTTTAACAACTCACCAGTGACGTGACTACGGGCAAGTAGGGACGCGTGCAGTGTTAGACCCCTCCTCCTAAGGACACCACGTGGCAGGCTGAGCCCAGTGCCGGCGCCCTGGCATCTCAGCCAGCACTGGCTCTTATGATTCATCAGAATCACTTGATTCATTATAATAATTGATTATAATAATTGGGTCAAGTAGGGGCTGCCCCATCTCTGCTTTCCCCTCTATCCTAGAAGGTATTGACCTTGGGCTGAGGACCCTTCTTTGTGAGCTGCTCTGGCAACGTCAGACCCAGCCCTTTGCCCCCTGCCCATGGACTCACTCAGTGGGCTTGCCCACTCCTTCCCCTCCCATCAGAGCAGGCCCGAAGTCCACCCGCCTCCTCCAGGCCCCTCCTCGCCCCTTGGCCTGTTCTCAAGCGGCTCTGGAAAGGCCCGGGGCTCCCGGGCCAGGCAGCCTCTCTCCTGGGGTCCTGTTACCCCCATCTGTCTTCTCTCGGGCATGAATACAAAATGCTTTCTCTCCACCACTTGCTACTTCACTCTTATGACATCATCTGGCTCACACACGCTTCTTGGTTACTGTTTCCTGAAGACTTAAAAGTCTACTCCCTCCAGGCCAGGTCACCCCTGCAGCTCCATCCTATGAAAAGAGCACAGGGCTTTGAAGCCAGCAGGAGCTGGGTTTAATCCTGGCTCCACAATTGACCAGCTGTGTGACCCCAGGCAAGTCAATTAACCTCCCTGAGCCCTGCATTGTTTATCTGTCTGAAATTAACTGGAGACAATCTTATTTTCTTTAGCAGTGGGGCTCTGGGGCTTTTTTGTTGTGGGAGGTGAAAACTGTGATAAGCCCTTTGAGGTTGGGGGAAGAGCCCCCACCTCCTACCCGACAAGAGGTCTGCTTGAAGACCTGGAGATGGCTGTCTTGGGCTGCCCACCAGCTTTCACTGGGTGACTGGAGCGAGCAGGTTGAGGGGGAGGGCTGGGTGCTTGGGATAATGGAAGGGATTCTTCCAGCTTGCAGGGGGGAAGGAAAAGGTGAAACCACTAAGAAGGGAAGGGGGCCAGCATGGCACAGCCCACCTGCTCAAACCAGACCCATCCCCTCCCACTCCCTGCTCTTCTCCCACATTTGCCACCTTGGTGACCCACCGTCCCCGGCCAGCCAAGGGACATCAGGTCAGAGGCTCTGGCCATCTGGACTTAGAGGCCCCTCCTCAGAATCACATTTCTGGCTGCATAAAATAAAATACGTAGGATGACAGAGCACACCAGTTACATGGAAGTGTAGTTAGCGAAATACTCAAACAAGCGTGCGGTACAGGAATATATGCGCTTCTTCATTAACACACTAGATAACAAGATTCCGCAGAAGCTCTAGTACACGTTACACTTTTGAATGAACACATCTCAAGATATCTACCACAACCGTAGTGTGAGAGCACAAATAGAGATTATTATTGGCGACTACCGGACAGGTGCTCCTCACTACTGCGTTTTGTTGCCTCCATTCATAGCTGAAGGACATACTGCATGTCAGTTACAAGTTAGAGGAATAAGGCTGGAATTTTCCCCCCACCCGGCTCGTGGACCCCCTGAATTCTGTGGACTCCACACTAGGAAGCTGCCCGGGGTTCTCTCTTTTCCAGGCCCACTCAGCTCTCCTGAGCAGTCTGCAACCCTGCTCACTTCACCGCCTAGCCGAACAGAGGGCGTGTGCGCCTGCATCCCATTCCCACTGCCCCTGCGCTGGGGCAGGGTGGGGCCGCGTCCTTTCTCACCTCCTGGCCAGTCTCCCTACTTCCACTCTTGCTCCACTCCGTCCATGCCACAGCCGGAGCCCTCATCCCCAAATGCACACCTGACCATATCCCCCTCTGCTCTGGATTCTTAATGGCTCCAAGGTAAAAGCTAAAGATCACTGAAAAGCACCAAGACCCTCGGCCAGGTCTCCGGCCTCATCTCTCAATTCTCCTGCTCTCTCTACTCTGCCTCCCCATCATTCTGAACAACTCGGAATTTCCAGAATATGCCACCCCACTAGGCCTTTACCCATGCTGCTCCCTCTATGTGGAATGCCTTCCCCAAGCTGTCCATCAGGGAAACTCCTACTTTTTTCCAAGCCTCAGCTCAAAGGATGTCTTCCCCATACCCATACCCCAGCCCACCCATCCCCACCCACTCCCCGGGGCCAACGTGGGTGCCCCTCGGGCAGGCCTCTCACTACTAGAGGTCAACCCACCATTTTCTAATTGTTTGATGAGTCTATCTCTCACAAGACTGCAAACTTCAGGAGGGGGAAGACACAGCCGTTTTTCCTTTGACTTGCCCAAACCTACAATGCCTGGTCCTTTAGGCCTTCTTTGAATATTGGTTGAGTAAATGCACACAAGATGTAGGAATGGGGTGAGCAGGATGCAAAACGGACACTACGCTATGAGGCTCGCTCTCTTTTTCTTTGCTTTCCTTTACTATGATGGTTAGATTTCCACATCCTGAGAATGCCAAGTCATGCGTGTTTTGATCTGTGGAGCGTGCTGTAATCTCTTGAATTCAGCTCTCAATCTTTGAGGGATCCCTCTGTTATACACACACACTTCAGTTAGGGGGAGATTATTTCCCTTACCAAAAGGCTCATCGTTTCAGTTTCATTAAATAGAGGGTTCTTCCAATGCATGAAGAATTGGATTAGATTTACAGAAATTCAATTTACGTTTGGCTTTTTAGGAACAGATGTCTTACACAGCCAAGCCACCACTCTATCTGTCAGGCCGCCTGAAGTTATGGTTTGTAGGCTCCTTTTACTCCCTCTGGCACACTCCCTGCTTAACCCCTCATGACCTGGATCTGTTGAAACAGCTCTGGGCAGCTGGCCACCTAATCCAGTAGCCTTTTTTTGGGAGTCGTCTGTCTCCACCTCCCTGAGTCCTATCATGAGGCTGACCATCCCATTCTCCCCAAAGCCCTCAAAATCCCTGGCTCTGCCCACCCCACATAGTCCCTGAGCTTCCAGAGGTGTTTGCTCCCTCAGCTTCCACATGAATGTCTCAAAGGCAAAAAAGCTAAAGCAGATGAGTGATGTGCCTGCCACCCCAAACGGGCCCCCCTTTTATATCCCTATGGAAGACACCATCATCCACTCATTCCAGTAAAGCACCTCTCTCTGCCTTGTCCCACAGATGCCGTCCATCACTGGGCCATATGGTGTTCAGCTCCTGACTACATCTCAAGCTAACTCACCTCTCTCTCCTGCACGTGAAACTTCACCGGAGGCTGCAACTGTCCCTTTCTGCTCATCACCAAAACCCCAGTACTTATTACTAGCACAGCACCTGGCACGTGATAGATAGTCAATAACCACCGAGCGAGTGAATAAGCAAGCAAATCCCATTTTCCGAACCGTACCACGGAGGCTGAGAGAAGGGAAGTGACTGGTGCAAGGTCACGGGCGGCGGGGGGGTGGGGAGCGGGGGGGGGGGGGGGACAGACAGGCCTCAGCCCCAGGGCGGCTCCCGCCCCCACAGTCCGCTCCTCCGGAAGCCCAGGGTTAGGCTCCACTGCCCGACGCCCTCCGCCTTACCTGACAGCACCGTGAAGACAGCTGCGAAGGCATTGAGCTTGAGCCCGTCGATGACATTGCTGGAGTGGAAAAGCTCGAGACACATGAGGCTGAAGCCAACCACCAGCAGGAGGATATAGAGCACCTCGGAGACCACCGACAGCCACAGGACCCCTGCACGACAGGGGCAGAGCGGCCGTGAGGTGAGGGACGCAGCAGGGTGGCCCCGCCCCGTGTACCTTCCACCCCACGCCCATCGGTTGGCGGACCTAGTCCTCCTAGTGAGGACCGCAGTTGTAGGGTGCGTCCTGATGACACAGCTGATCACGACCACGTCCTCTGCACCAGAACTGGCTCAGGAGCCCAAGCCCAAGTCAGGGGGAGCCCGGCGCTCTCGGGGTGATGCTTACTAGTGCAGGGGGCCCCTTCTGACCGGAGGGAGGAACCTCCGTCCTGCAGCTGGACGGAGTCTCTCTTTCTCTTCTCATCTGGTAGATGACTGCTCCCGGGAGCCATCTGATGGCCCGGAGGGCACCCGCCTTAGGATGAAGCGGACACTGTTGTTTCTGAGCAGAGAGGGACGGGAGGGTGACATCACCCGGCCAATCACCAGCCCCGAGGGCTTCCCTGAGGTTAAAGTGGTCAGGGCGGTGTTCTCTGTCACCTGCAGCTACGAGCACACACCTACATTTTCATCCGCCCTGTACCCGACTCCACTTTTTTCTAGAAACTACTACAGCTCCTGCCACAGCTTCAACCACGTGGCCGTCCTGGGAGCAGCCGTGTTCTAAAGAGGGTCTCCCTTCCTGGACATGGTTGATGGGTCGGGTGTGGTCACGTGACCTAGGATCGGCCAATCAGAGCCCTTCCCTGGCAGTCTGCACTTGGAAGCACAGATGTGAACCGGAAGACCAGGACCGATGAGAGCGTGAGCTTTCTGACAGTGTGAGCGCCCGGTTCCAGCTGTTCCTGAAGGGGCACTGCACCGCTGTCCTTCCAGTGGTTTGGCTCCTCCAAATCTTTGTTTTCCTTGTGCTAGCACAGCTCCCTTTTCTCCCCAATTTTTCCAATTTGGGTTGCCATCATTTGCCACCTAGTTTAGGGGGCATCTTCTCTTTCTCCCACCCCACATTACCCCCCCCCCTTCTTCTTACATGTCTCTCATTTGGAGAGTCCCTTCCCTTCTCTCGGTCTGTGTAGGTCAGTTGCAGCTGACACATCCTGGCTCCATGTTCAGGCACATGACTCCTATCTAGTCAATGAGAGCTTCAGGAGCCCCCTGACTCTAGTCATTGCTTCAGGAATGAACCTCTCTATGCCTGCGTTTCTTCACCTATAAAACAAGGATAATAATAACACCTATTTCATAGTGTTGTCCTGCTGTGAGGATTCCATTAGACAGCAATGTGAAGAGCTTGTGCTTAGCGTGTAGTGACGGCTCAATTTGTGCCATATTACTGTTGTTGTATGGGAGGAACATGTCCCTACCGTGTCTCAGGAAATGGAGCCCAGGGGCGCTTGAGTGAGGTCAAGGCTAGAGACAGAGTCAAGAAAGAGAAATGCAATGTGGGAGGAGATAATATTTCTGAGAAAAAGGATGGGCAGGAGAAAATGCAACACATCACATGACTTACCTTCCAAGACACACTAACCAGTGTTAGAGGAAGGCCCACACTTTAGAGAAGGGACTATGGACCCTTCTCTAAAGGGTCAGCCAGAGATGGACATGTGACCCACGTCAGTTCAATGAGAGTCAGGACTTTCACTGGAACTATTGGCGAAGAAAATTCCTTTCTTTTTACCAGGTTTCAGCCTAGGAGGGTGGAAAGATGGAACTGACTGAGCCACCCAGGGGCAAGGGCCTTCCTAAAAGCAGAGCCAGTGCCAAGGAAGGCAGAGCTGAGATGGAGGAGGATTGTGTCCTAGGACATTGTTTGAGCACCTGGATCCAGCCATGCCTGAAGCTCCCAGTCATTTGTTCTTTCAATCACATGAACCAGTTAAGTCCTTGTCTTTGCCTAAGCCAGTTTGAGGTGGAATTTCTATCCCTTACAACAAAGAGTCCTGATCTTTAGCTTTTCTGTTCTCCAAACCTGTCAAACATGTCCTTCCTACCTCTTTGCCTTTATAAGATTGTTCCTTCCACCGGGACCATCCTGGGGACATCCAATATGTACTATATAGTGAATGAAGCAAACAAACAGAAAATTCTCAGTCCTTATCTGCTCCCTGACAAAGAATCCAGATTCTGAAACACCCACTATCATTCCTAGCACAACGGGCTTTTAGAGCTGTGGAGAAATTTTTTTTTTCTTTTTCCTTTTTCTTTTTTTTTTTTTTTTTTTTTTTTTTGGCTACAAAAATATCACATCTCCTGGGCAATCCCTTGGATTTCTGTAAGAGAATAATGTGCTCTTGGCAGCCTGGATGTTGTTAAAACACCCCCTGGCACGGCACACTCATAGCCTCTGAGGTCCTTCTCTGGCCCAAGGCCCACCAAGGCAGCAGGGAGGAAGGCAGGAGATGCGGGGTGAGCTGAGCCACACCAGGAGGGCGGCAGCTCCCACGGAGGCCTGGCCTCCCTCCCAGCAGCCTTCACCTCTTGCTGCTCTTGACCTGGTGGCATGTGGAGGCCGCTCCTCACCACTGTGCTGCTTACTGACTCAGTGCCTCCCCCAGAGAACCCCTACTCCCCCAGGAGGGGTGCTCTTATCCCTGCCCACATGGGCCCCAGGCCAGGCCTCCACCCCTCCCGCTTCCCCTCTCCCCTCACAGCAGCATCTGGCTCTGCTCTTTCAGATGGACTGAGAGGTGGGATGGGGCATCAGGGGCCGAGATGCTCAGAAAAGAAGTAAGTTAACTGTGGGGAAACAGACACCAGTATCTCCGATGCCTGGTTAGGGTCACTTGGGCTTCTTATTCTCTCCAGATTTATTTCCCTGTCCTGCCTCCCCCAATTCCCTTACCACTCTCCCCTGGGCAGTTCCTCTGTACCTGACTTACACGTGAGTTCTCATCTCAGCATCTACTTCTAGAGAATCTGACCTCAGACTCTAGCATTCACCTGTTAACCTCCTCACACCCGTACGAAGTAGTGAGGCAGCATCCACTTTACAGATGAGCAAACTTAGGTTCAGAGGGACTAAGCAACTAGTCTGCACAGCTACATCGTGGTACAGCCTGGGTTCAAACCCAGGCCTCTCTGACTCCAGGACCCGTCACAGCTCTAAGTTGGCAAGATGGAAGAGCCACTTTGAAATCATACCATTCTCCACCCTTGGGCTAGTCTGAGGGGCCTGTCTGGGTCGGAGGGCACAGGGTTCCCTGGCCATGGCTCTCATCTCCATGCTCTCCGGCATTCCAAACAATGCCTGGATTCCTGCAAGAGGGTGGCCACCGAGTGGGATGGGAGAGGGGTGGACCTCAGGCCTCCGCAATCCCGAGGCCAGCTGGCCACCAGGTGTCGGGGGGAAGGAGGTCACAAGGAAGAGCAGACAGGTCCCGGGGATGCCAGAAGCCAGGCTGTGGAAGCTGCACTTGGCCCATGAGGCCAAGGCCAGTGGGGTCCTCAGGGTCTTAGCAGGGGAAGGACCCAAGTCAGGAGGCCTGCTCTGGAAGGACACCCGGGTGGCCTGCTGGAGGTCTCTGCTGCGCTCCGGGCGAGAGATGGTGGTGGCCTGCCATGGTAACGGTGGGGTGAGGACCAGCGTGGAACCTGGTAACTCCTGAGGCGTGGGCTCAGTGGACTCTGACCACGAATGTGGTGGCAAAGGAACAGGGAGGAGTCCAGAGTGAGGCCACGTGTCCAGCTTGGGCAACTGAGCAGATGGTGAGTGTTCTTCACTGAGAAAGAGGTGATGCTAAGGCAGGAAGACAACGAGGTCCCACATCAGTTGTAGGACCTCCAACGGGCTGCCCAGGATGTAGCTGGAGCCCAGGCAGAGAGCTGCAGACATCGGCGAGACGTGGGCACTCACTAAACATCTACTCTGATTGTCAAAGAGATGGTAGCTGGAGGCACAAGGCTGGTCGACAGGCCCATGAAGAGTATGTGGAGCAAGAGAGCGAAGGGTGGGAGATGGATCCACGGGAACATCAGTACTCAGGAGGGGGGGTGGTGGGGAGAGGGCTGTGGAGGCGACTCCATGGGTGCCCCACCCGCCCCTCCCACAGCGCTTCCGCGCACACTGCCCCCCGCCGGCACACGGACCTCTCCCCCCCAGTGCTTGGCCCTGGTCCCCAGAGCCCCCTCCCTACCTTCCCGCACCTTCACAGTAGGCTGGACTTGGGGGGGGTGACAGCACCCTCCACCCCCAGCTGCAGTCCTCAGCCAATGCCTGATGCGAGCCACTAAAGTACCCCAAGTGGGTAACACTGGGGGGTGCCACCCACACATCTGTGTTTCACACCAGGGGAGAGGTGGTATTACACGTGTCTCACCACAACACTAAATCGTCTGAATCAAAAAGTGAAAAAGCTACTCAGTTCTCTGTTATTTCTAAAATTCTTACCACCTCAATCAAAAGAGTCTCTCTCCGGTGCTAATGTGTCCTCAACACCTTTCTACCACTTGTTAATTGTTTAAAACCGTGAGAGGGCTCAGAATCTACAGCAGTTCCTAGGCAGACTTGAAAGGCATTTAGGTAATTTCCTTCTGGGCCGGTGATTCTCCATCAGCCCCATCCTCTCCCATCCTCCCCCCAAGTCACTGCTCTCCGCCCTTCTCTGTGCCCCGGAGGCCTGACTCCTAGGACTGCACCCCCAGGCTGCCTGGCCCTCTGGATGCACAAGGAGGGGCACCAGCTAGAAATCGGAGGGTAGGAAGAGGAAGGTCAGTGTTTCTCTGCCCTGCTCCCTGTCTTGTGCCCCTTCTCTGGTGGAGGCTTCATTCTCTTCCTATGACCACAGCTCCCAAGGTTTGTGGGAGCCAACCAGTTGCAGCTCCTACACTGTCCTTACCCTTTCTCCTGCCCTCCTAAGGCAGATAATGGCTCCCCTCTCTTGCCAGTCTTCCGGGGCCTCAGATTCTCTTAGCCCTTCCCATGCCTTTTAAAGGACTCTGTCATTAAAGTGCCTTCATTTGAACCATTTGGGGGATTCTGATTTCTGCAGGGACCCTCCCTGAGACATCGTGGTTTTGGGCAAGGGATCCAATTAGAGCAGTGATCTGAGCC